TCAATGAAATGCAATTTCTCTTTTCCTCTCTTCCTAATAGTTTTATTTTTGTTTTCCTTTCTTCCTTGTATAGTTCTTTTTATGTTGGCTTCAATGATATGATATGTATGCGGAATCTTCGGCCCAGTCTTAAAAGCCAATCTAATTCTGAAATAGTAATTCAAGAAATAGAGTGTGATGTTGAATCGGAATATGATGAAGATGAAGCCTTTGAAGAGATTAGTAAAGAATTAAGCCATTTTGAAGAAAAGCCCAAGCCTAACCTGAGTGATACAGAAGTAATCAATTTAGGGGACCAAGATAATGTCCGGGAAATTAAAATAAGTGTCCATCTTGAACCACAGCTCAGAGATGAGATAATTAAAACACTGTTTGAGTATAAAGATGTTTTTGCGTGGTCCTATGATGACATGCTAGGTCTAAGCACTGCTTGGTGGTTCACAAATTGCCCATTGATCCGGCATTCCTCCCTGTCAAGAAAAAGTTGAGGAAATTTAAAACTGATATGAGTGTGAAAATTAAGAAAGAGGTCACCAAAAAGTTTGAGGCCATGGTCATTCGGGTCACTCGGTATCCCACATGGTTAGCCAATGTAGTTCCTGTGCCGAAGAAGGATGGCAAGACCAGGGTGTGTGTTGATTATCGAGACCTCAACAAGGCGAGTCCCAAGGATAACTTCACATTGCCGAACATTCATATATTGATCGATAATTGTGCCAAACATGAGATTGGTTCTTTTGTGGATTGTTATGCGGGCTACCACCAGATCTTAATAGATGAAGAAGACGCAGAAAAGACAACATTCATCATGCCCTGGGGAACGTACTGTTATCGGGTCATGCCATTTGGTTCGAAAAATGCTGGGGCAACCTACACGAGGGCAATGACGACTATATTCCACGATATGATACACAGGGAGATCGAGATTTATGTGGATGATGTGATTGTAAAGTCTAGAAAGCAGCCTGACCATGTCAGAGACCTGAGAATGTTCTTCCAAAGGCTTCGCAGGTACAATCTCAAGCTTAATCCTGCAAAATGCGCGTTCGGTTTTCCGTATAGAAAGTTGTTGGGATTCATAGTCAGTATGGAATTACCACCTCCAAAGAACAAGACTGAGGTGAAGAGTCTGTTGGGAAGATTGAATTACATCAGCCAATTTATTGCTCAGCTCACGACAACTTGTGAGCCTATATTCAAATTGTTAAAGAAAGATGTTGCAGTCAAGTGGACAGATGAATGTCAGGAAGAATTTGATAAGATAAAGTGGTACTTTTCAAACCCACCTGTGTTGGTCCCGCCGGAACCAGGGAGACTATTGATTCTGTATTTGACAGTCTTGGACACATTTGGATGCGTGTTGGGATAGCATGACATAACTGGAAGGAAGAATCAGGTCATATATTATCTCAACAAGAAGTTCATATCTTATGAGGTTAAGTACACTCAGCTTAAGAGGACGTGTTGCGCCCTAACTTGGGTAGCCCAGAAGCTGAAACATTATTTGTTATCTTATACTACTTACCTCATCTCTCACTTGGATCCGTTGAAGTATATCTTCCAGAAGCCTATGCCCATGGGAAGTCTTGCAAAGTGGCAGATCTTGCTCACAAAATTTGACATTATCTATGTGACTAGGACCGCAATGAAAGCACAAGCATTGGCCGACCATTTGGCTGAGAATCCTGTGGATGAAGAATACAAACCTTTGAAGACCTACTTCCCTGATGAAGAGGTAATGCACATTGATGAGTTGGAACAGATTGAAAGGCCAGGATGGAAGCTTTTCTTTGATGGTGCTGCTAACATGAAAGGCGTTGGAATAAGTGCGGTACTTGTTTCTGAAACAGGTCATCATTACCCTATTACAACACAGCTTCGATTCTACTGTACTAACAACATGGCGGAATACGAGGCATGCATTTTGGGTTTGAGGATGGTTGTGGATATGGGTGTCCAGGAAGTCTTGGTCTTGGGTGACTCGGACCTTTTGCTACACCAGATTCAGGGAGAATGGGAAACACGGGATTTAAAACCCATACCGTACCGGCAATGTTTGCATGATCTTTGTCAATGGTATCAATCAATAGAGTTCAGGGATATTCCGATGATCCACAATGAGGTTGCCGATACTTTGTCTACCCTGGCATCGATGTTACATCATCCGGATAAGGCTTATGTTGACCCGTTGCATATTCAGGTCTATGATCAGCATGCTTATTGTAACATGGTGGAGGAAGAGCTCGATGGGGAGCCTTGGTTTTATGACATCAAGGAATACATCCAAAGGGGAGTATATCCAGTACAAGCCATAGGTGATCAAAATAGAACAATTCATCGCTTGGCAGGTGGATTTTTCTTCAGTGGAGGAGTTTTGTACAAAAGAACTCCAAATCTTGGGTTATTAAGATGTGTAGATACCAGACATGCCGCGACTATCATGACCGAAGTACATTCTGGAGTCTGTGGACTCCACATGAGTGGGCATGTGCTGGCAAAGAAGATTCTCCGGGTAGGTTATTATTGGCTCACTATGGAGCGAGATTGTATCCGTTGCGTGCGTAAATGTCATCAGCGCCAAGTGCATGGAGATTTGATTCATTCTCCACCATCTGAATTACATACAATGTCTGCACCATGGACTTTTGTTGCTTAGGGAATGAATGTCATTGGACCAATCGAGCCAGCACCGTCCAACAGGCACAGGTTTATTCTGGTGGCCATTGATTATTTCACCAAGTGGGTAGAGGCTAAAACATTCAAGTATGTAACCAAGAAGGTAGTGGTTGATTTTGTGCATTCAAATATCATTTGCCGGTTCGGGATACCGAAGGTGATCATTACAGACAATGGGGATAATCTCAATAGTCATCTGATGAAAGAGGTATGTCAGCAGTTCAAGATTACACATCGCAATTCTACCCCATACCGCCCTAAGGCAAACGGAGCAGTTGAGGTGACCAACAAGAACATAAAGAAAATACTTCGAAAAATAGTGGAAGGTTCTAGGAAGTGGCATGAAAAGCCGCCGCTTGCATTGCTGGGTTACCACACTTCTGTCCGTACTTCAGTATGGGCGACTCCTTATTTGTTGGTATATGGCACTGAAGCAGTGATACCCGCAGAAGTGGAAATTCTATCCCTTTGAATTGCCGCGGAGGCTGCGATCGATGATGAGGAGTGGGTCAAAACCCGCTTGGAACAATTGAGTTTGATCGATGATAAGAGACTGGCAGCAGTGTGTCATGGCCAGTTGTATCAACACAGAATAGAAAGAGCATACAACAAGAAGGTGCGTCCACGGAAGTTTGAAGTGGGGCAGTTAGTATTGAAACGCATTCTTCCTCATCAGGTTGAAGCAAAAGGAAAATTCGCCCCAAATTGGCAAGGGCCGTTTGTTGTGACTAGAGTGTTGTCCAATGGTGCATTGTATTTGACAGATGTAGATGACAAATGTGTAGAAATGGCTATCAATTCTTGCGAAGAGATACTATTTATGATTTCTTTCTTTGATTGTACTTATTTGTATTTGGCATGTCTCGAATATTGAAATGACGAATGCATTTTGTTCTGCTATCTAAACACTTTATCCCACGCTGCCCCTCTGAGCCTCATTTATTTTATTTTATACCACTCTTTCGAAATCAATAGAAAATATCGAAATACAAGCGTAAAGATAAGTAAAGAAAGGAGAGAGAAGTAGAAAGGAAAAATAAAAGAGAAAGAATGAATGAAAAGAGAAAGAAAAGAAAAAGAAAAGAAAAGAAAAGAAAAAGAGAGAAAAAAAGAAGGAAAAAAAAAGAAAGAAAAAGAGAAGGAAAATCACAACAAACAAAGTAATTCCTATGTCATGACTACGTTTGACCTAATTCCTTTTAAGAATATGTAGGCAGCCTCACGGTTCGTTCCCATCAAAGCAAAAATCCAAAAGTCCCCAAATAAGAAACTGTGGCAGAAGTTGTGGTGGTTATCAGAAATCTGATTCCGAAGGTTGTAAGTTGGAACCCAATCAAATTGTTTTGAGCTTTTTATGCCCTTCCTTTCTAAACCCATCCAAAAGCCATATTACGGTCCAAAGAAAGACATTCCGATCAGTCTTCGGGAAATGCCAAGCCAAGCAGGTAGAGGTGATTCATGTCAGGGGCAACACTCTGGTCTAAACAGGGAAAAGAAATAAAAAATAAGAGAGTCTTATTGGTGAAAACCCTCGCAGGCACCGTAAGACGACGGGAGAAGAGAAAAATGAAAATGAGAGAGTCTTATTGGTGAAAACCCTCACGGGCATCTTAAGGTAAAAGTGAGTTGATAGATGAATGAATGAGAGAGGTCTGCTGGTAAAAACCTTTCAAGGCACCGCAGGATGAACAAAGTCGGGATTTGGGTGAAGAAATCAAGTTACGGCAATTCCGGGTCAACAAAAGTGTGGCAAATCGATGTTGATTGTTTGGACAGATTAGGCTGATTAATACAAAATGCATGTCAAGATCATTGGTACCAGCTGTTCCACTCAGATAAGTCTCTTTTCTTTCTCTTCATAGTCTTCCACTTTTGGATTTCTTTATCTTTAACTCTGAAAGTCATTGCATTTCATTTCTCTTGGGTTTATTTCTTTAAGACGTTCCTCAATGTCAGTTATATTTAAGCAAATAAGAAGTAATTTCAAAGTTCACTACCAACTTCCAAAATTGCAAAGCAGAGCGTGGTCAAAGCATACTAAGGATAACATGATGTAAAGAGGGGTACAAGGAATCACTAGAACTTTCATTGGTGGAATGATTTGGTATTGTCATGGAAATGCAAAGGTTCAGATAAAGGGGTCAGAGGTGTAAAATAACAGCATGAGTATATAACACTTGGGCCATCAAAGGTCAGGGGTTTGAAAGTCAGTCAGAAAGTCAGGCGGTTCAGGGCCAATGCGGGGAAGACAGTCAAAACAAAACAATGCAGTGGAAGGATCTTCAACACGAATGCAAGAAAGTAACCACCATTTTAAACTGACAAAATGTTCTTTGATTGAAACAGGGGCAGAAAAGTTCGTTTGGTTCAGAGGAACTCTCCGTAAGGAAAGGCAAGCATCAAACAGGTTTGACAGTAAGCTTCAGGACCCTCCTGAATAATGGGACCTAGTTTAAAGTTCAAAACAATCATGAGCCACATAATTTAGCACAAATGTATCCCCAGAGGAATATAAGTTGGTCTGCATGTTTAAAATAGGATTCAATTAGGAGTTTTCAGGACCCTCCTGAATAGTGGGACTTAGTTTTAATGATTTCCATTGGATCACAAGATGTAGCATAAAATCCTATCATAAGGTAGTATAATTCAGTCATAAAAGTGTCATTTTAGGACAAGACTTGATTTTGATTTTTAGGGCCTTCCTGGATAATAGGATGTAGTTTAAAACCCTCTTAGATAACAGGACTTAGCGGAAGCAATGCCTTTAGAAGATATAGCTTAGATCTATAATTGTCAGTTGGCAGGACCTCCTTGGATAATAGGACTTAACTTTCAAATTCTTAGTAATAATTGGTAAAATGATTCAGTTTAATACTCACCCATGTGCCCAGCTACCAAACTGGGGCAGAAAATTTTCTTTGTTTTATTTGTTTTGTCTATTTTGAAATTAGGAGTCCGCCTGGAGAGCAGAGAATACTTTCAAGTTGAAGTCAGAAGCCCGCCTGGATAACAAGGGAGTATAATTCAAGTTTTAACTTTCAAATTCTTTGCTTGGTCTATTTTTGAAGTCATGAGCCCGCCTGGAGAGCAGGGAATGCACTTCAAGTGAGAAGTCAGGAGCCCGCCTGGAGAGCAGGGAATACATTCAAGTTTAGCAATCAGGAGCCCGCTTGGAGAGCAGGGAATACGTTTCAAGTTGAAGTCATGAGCCCGCCTGGAGAGCAGGGAATACGTTTCAAGTTGAAGTCTGGAGCCCGCCTGGAGAGAAGAGAATACATTTCAAATTGAAGTCAGGAGCCCGCTTGGAAAGCGAGGGATACATTTCAAGTTGAAGTCAGGAGCCCTCCTGGAGAACAAGGGAGTACAATTCAAGTTTTAGCTTTCAAATTCTTTGCTTTGTCTATTTTTGAAGTCAGGAGCCCACCTAGAGAGTAGGGAATGCACTTCAAGTTAGAAGTCAGGAGCCCGCCTGGAAAGCAGGGAATACATTTCAAGTTTGAAGTCAGGAGCCCACCTAGAGAGTAGGGAATGCACTTCAAGTTAGAAGTCAGGAGCCCGCCTGGAAAGCAGGGAATACATTTCAAGTTTGAAGTCAGGAGCCCGCTTGGAGAGCAAGGAATACATTCGAGTTCAGTAATCAAGCATCCAATCGGAGAAAGGAAAAACATCATCAAAGTGTAGTTGGCAGTCAGGCATCCATCTGGAGAAACGGAAAACATCTCAGAATACAATTCAAAGCGGCAACAAGGGGATTCCATCGGGAGAATACAAGTCAACAAGGCAACAAGAACCACTAGAGCAAGGCTGAAGTTATAAATAGGATTTTATAATCCATATACCATAGTATAGTCTAGCTCCTTTTCATTTTATCATGGTGTAATAAGGGGATGCAGTAAGCAGTAGCAGCAGCAGCAACATCAACAGTGAAATCACAGCTTCATGGTAGTCCCAGCTACCAAAACTTCCCGAACTACACTAACCTGATTCCTTTTTATCCAAGGATATGTAGGCAACCTCAGAAGCAGGGTGCGGTCAAATCTTTCAAAAATTCTTCATACGGAGTATTCAAACGGGCAAAAATCGCTCGTATCCGCTCACTTATCTTTGCACGAAAACTCTTCGTGTTTCCGTACAAAGAGGGGAAGCTGTGAGCACGTGATTTTTGCCCTATATGAATTACTCCCATAAATTCAAAACAAAATAATTTCTTCAGTGTTGGCAATTTTGTGGATTTTTGTGACATTTTCTGTTAATTGTTTGCATTCGACTGTGTATGTTTATTTTATTTTAACTAATGGAAAACACAAAAATACGTGGCATTTGCATGTAGGATTTAACTCTATATTCTAGGATTAATTAGCAAATTAGTTGTTTTATAAAAATGGAAAAATTACAAAAATTGGCGTACTTTTGCATTTTTAGCCTTTTAGTTTTAAATTAGTAATTTCCTCTTTTAATTTAGGAGTAATTAATTTCTGTAAATATCATAGTAGATAATTAGCCTAATTTTAAAGATTAGATCAATTTAGGGGTTAATTTGGGATTTCAATTAATTATAGAAAAAAAAAGAAAAAGAGGAATAATAGAAAAAGAAAAAGAGAAAAGGAATTTGCTCTTAAAAATCTGTTGGGCTAAAATCCAAATGCAGGCCCAGTTGTTATGCACCGAAACTCTGCCCAAACCCGCGTCTCAACCCGGTCCGGTCACCCCTTCATCCGAAACGACGTCGTTTTGATATCCTTTAATTTCGACCGTCGAGGTTAGTTGATCTGACGGTCCAGAACTAACCTCATCTTGATATATAATTGTCCAAACAGTCCCCCTACCCCCTCTCATCTCCTTCACCAAAACCTCATCACCTCCGCCGGAACCGCCTGCCGAAAATCATCTCCGCCGGCGATGGTACTCCAATCGACCCCAAATTAACGCCATAAACTCCCCTCCTTCTCCTCTTCCCAAATCTCCAAAACCCCTTCTTCGAATCTTATCATAACTCTTCGAATCTTGAATCGAAGAGGATGACCAAAACCCTAACTTGTCCAATCGACCCCAAAATTACACCACAGAACCACCCTGACCCCCTCTTCCCAAATCCCGGTTCGATTTTCCACGAATATTGGTGAAGCTCCTCGAATCCAGATTTGAATGAACAACCCTAAAAGTCCAAAGGTCAGAATCAGCGAGGTTTAGAAGATTTAGGCCTAAATCGATGTTACTCGTGTGTTCTTGATATTAAGAACATAGGATTAACTTCATATAGGGCAGGAATCGATGAGTTGAAGGCTGTCACTTAGGCCCTTTTGTCTGGGTCCTCTTGGGTATGTGTCTTTTCTTCTATTCAGTTCTTTTCCTCCTCTACTTCTTCGTTTCTTCTATTATTTGTTGTCCCGTTAGGTCTTTTGTGTTCGTTTATGAGTGTCTATTATGCATGTTATTTTAAAAAATGTTAGGTCACTTAGCTTGATTAGTTAGGTTAGTTTTATCTGGTAATCTCTTTAATCTTAGTCCAGTACTTGATTTCTGTTGTTCAGACTCTTCTCTATTATGAACATTTTGTTTCAATCAAATCGACTTGGGTTGGGTTTGGGTTTATGCCTCTGATCTTTGATTTACTAGTTTGGGCCGGATCTGAATAAATTCAATTGGGTCGAATCGACCCAAGCTCTGTCCGGTTCCTTCGGGTAATAACAGGGTCATTAAGGGGTAATTTGGGTAGTCTAGGCTTGGGAATCGTATATAACTGAACTAGGAAGCTTCCTAGAAGCTGGGGTGGGGGCTATTCTGAAATTCTGAGGTTTACACTAGGGATTTCTAAGCTAAAATGAAAATTTCAGAAGGTTTTAAGTGCAATTTTGAACTCTTTGAGGCTGCCCTATTAGCTTGCCTATAAATGCATTGTTACTTAGAGCTCAAGTCAGATTTTGGAGAGCTAAAAAATCAGAAATACACCGGACGATTGAAATTTTGAAAAAAAAACACTATTCCATTGGAATTCTGCCCAAAATCTTAAGTTGTTCCTAGATTACAAAACAATTTCTGAAACCTTTAAGTGTAAATGGCTTGATCTTGTGCTGGAAAAGCTTTGGGTTTTAGTTTTGTTTGAAGTTTTCACTGTTCCATTGGTCTTTTGTTTGGATTTCTGCAAAGTTTTCAATGTTTTGCAGCATTTTGGTTCATCTGAGGTTAAGTGTGAATTGATTTAGGTTTTGGGGTTTGATGTGTGTCAACCTGTGTTAACCCTGGGTTTTTACTGATTGTTACTCAAATCTGTGATGTGCTGCTCGCTGCTAGATACTGATTCTTCACTCTTGTGGTTTCTATCTTATTTCTAGGTATTTCTTTCAAACCTTGAATGGAAATGAAGCTTGTTATGGCTATTTGTGTTGGAATCATGTAATTCGAGTCGAAGTAACTGATTGCTGCCCTTCTCTGTTACATTACCAGCTTCGAAATCTATTATATTTTGTCTTCAAGGTCCTCATAGGCTCACATAAGCTATTTAGTTTCTTGTCATTATCTTTGTAGATTCTTTTATGGTGTTGTATAAGTGTTTCCCTTTCACTTGCTTAGCTTAAATGTTTGAAGGTCCCTGATCCTATGTATGAGTGTGTAGAGAACTACTGCAAAAAAATTTTAGTAATGTCAAGTATGCGTCAGGTCTGTTTTGGCCTGTTGAGGCCAGTGTTGTTGAATGGAGAGCATGCTGCTCAGTTTCCCTAGTTTAGTTATACATTTCAAGCCTTGCAGGTTGAGGACTGTTTATTGTTAGGAAGGAAGGTTATACATATGTTTTCTGCTTCTGAGGAGACTCGATATCGAGTCTTAAAGCCTCCAGCAGTGGGCCTTGAAATCTGGCTTGGGCTCGTTTGGGCCCAAAGTTCATTTACCTTGTGATGTGGTCTTGTGAGTCCAAGGCAAGCGTGGGTCCGAGGTGCAGACAAGATCAGAATTATAATTTTAGTTGCTTTATGTTTAAATAATCAAAGAAGCAAAGATGTTAGTTTGGTCATGTTCTTAACATAGTTTTATGATTGGCATTCAATAAAATGTGTACAATTCTGAGTTTTTATGCCTGATTTGGCATTGAAATCTGCAGCTGGGCCTTTAGCGTTGGTCCAGTGTCTTTGGATGCACTACCAATTGCGTTCATGACCTCTGTTTTATTTGTGATATTGGGCCCGTTGTTGTTTGGGCCTGCCTTTTACTTTCCCATCTCAGTGCTATTGATGGCCCAAGCCATTTTCTTTCGAATATTCGACCATGTTCTCTTCCGGACAGATTTCCTTCTAATTCGTTTGAGCATTAGTATTAAAAGTAGGATTCAAGTTCCTTTAATGTTTTAATTAATTAGATCGCGTTAATTAGTTGAGGTGTGTCATATTAAATGATGCCAATAGTTATGGCCCTCAAAACTAAGTTTAGAAATACCTTTAATAGAATAATTTGGGGCATGCCATGCCAAATAAAATTTCAAAATGCATGGCCCTCATTTAATTAAATTTAGTCGTTAGAAATCGAGGCGTGCCATTTAGTTGAATTTCCATGGCCCTCGCAAAGTTGAAATGTGTAGTTACTTTAAGCGCGTTATTTCAATAATATTACCTTCCTAAACTCGGGTGTGCATTTCATGTGACCCAAATCAAATCTTAAATGTTGAATAAAATATATTTAGGATTGCGGGTGCATTTCATGTGGCGCGATCCAAAGACGTATTTTAAACGACGTTTAATCTTCTTTAAAAATTAAGTAAAAGCAGTTTGAAAGCTAAAATGAACCTAGGTCTAAAAATGTTTTTAAAATCAAATAATTGAGCTCAAAATAACGGTTGAGCGATCGTGCTAGAACCACGTAACTCGGGAATGCCTAACACCTTCTCCCAGGATAACAGAATTCCTTACTCGGATTTCTGGTTCGCGGACTGTAATACAGAGTTAATCTTTTCCTCGATTCGGGATTTAAAACCGGTGACTTGGGACACCATAAATCTCCCAAGTGGCGACTCTAAATGTTTAAAAAAAGGAGGTGTGACAGTTGGATTTGGATTGCAACAGACTAAATACTCGGGAGTAGGAGCTGTAATCGAATACGCAATTGTCCATCTTAAGGTAGAAAACATTTTAGTCATTGGCCATAGTGCATGTGGAGATATTAAGGCTCTCATGGAATTCCCAGAAGATAGTTCTAAATCAATGTATGTATTGTTAAGTAAACCATTTAAGTTATACATATTAACAGTATAATGAATAAGAAAAAAATGTTTAACTTACTAATTAATTGTGTTATATTACTAATTTGAAGATATGTTTATATGTGATGATGCAGTGACTTTATAGAGGATTGGGTGAAAACTGGATTGCCTGCCAAAGCAAAAGTGCTAGTTGAATATGGGGATAAAACTTTTGAAGAGCAAGTCAAATACTGTGAGAATGTAAAATAGTGTTCTCACACTAATTATCTTTTTTACTTTTGTTTATAAATATCAACTAATAGTTTATAAATAATAATGAGAATGGATAAACGTAGGAAGCTGTGAATGTATCACTAGCCAATTTGCTTATGTACCCATTTGTGAGCGATGCTTTGGTGAATAAGACTTTGGCATTGAAGGGAGGTTACTATGATCTCATGAAAGGAAGATTTGAGCTCTGGGGACTCAACTTCTGTCTTTCTGATCCTTGTTATATATGAACTCAATAAACCATATTCGGGCGGGAGAAGATACCTTTTGTTCTTGCTTTTCTCCTGTTCTATTCGTCAGCTATGAGTGGTAGTTTGAATTTCTGAATAAATAAAAAGAGAGGGTGGACAAGGATTCTCCCATCTTATGGTTAAAGAGAATAGTTGTGATTTTTGTTTGTGATAATAACTCTGCTCTGCAGAGAAAAATAATGTATGATGATAACTTTGCTCTACTAGTTCAGAAAGTGCGGTCACAATAATTTCTGTTTTGTCTTGGGATATGGCAATTTTCGTAGAAATGACACCAGGTAGCCACTTTACAGGACTGTATTTAAAAATTAGTCAATGTGTCCTGGATTTTAGTTTTTCAGTTCAAATATTCAGGACAAAAATATTCTAAATTATTCTGAAGTTAAAATTTTTAGTTTAAAACTTCAGGACAAAATAAGTATAAGTTATCTCTAAATAACATCCCTGAGAAGGGCTATCTGTGCACTTGCTCGCAATTTTCTTGTACTCACCAAGCAACGAAAGGCTCACAAATCATAAACATGCTTTTATTGACAAAATATTTTAATATACACTAATCATGTAAATTAATTTTTACGTTATTTGTGTAGTTTAATAGAAGGGAAAATGGCCAAAAATTAATCCTCAACTATTCAAAATGTGACTGTTGTTATAAATAAAAATTTATTTATGGTAAATATCTATATTTTAGAGAGATCTAAGGGTTTATTACTTGGTGGTTGAGTCACCCTCTTCCTATAAATAGAGGGCTCTATTCCATTGTAATTCATCTCAAAACAATAAGAATTCTTTCTCTCTTTCTTGGCAATATTCTTCTTTATTGTTTTATTTCACGTTATCAGCACGAGTCTCTACCGTCTCAAGAAGCTCTTTGACAAGACTAAGGTAAAACTTTTCTTCTCTTTTAATTATGACCGATATTATGAAAAGAAAGTTTGTTGCCCTTGAAATTTCAAGCATGAACTATATGACATGGGTGTTGGATGCTGAAATACATTTAGATGCAATGGGTCTTGGAGACACCATTAAAGACAAAAATAAAGCATCCACCCAGGTCTATGCTAAGACCTTGATTTTCTTGAGCCATCACCTTGATGAAGGGTTGAAAATAGAATATCTCACAGTCAAAGATCCACTTATTTGTGAAATGACTTAAAGGAAAGATATGATAACTTAAAGTTGGTCACTCTTCCACAAGCATGATATGATTGGGCTCATCTGAGGCTCCAAGACTTTAAGTCTGTTTCAGAATATAATTCTACGATGTTCAAAATTGCTTCTAAATTGAAACTCGGTGGAGATACTATCACTGACTATGATATGCTTGAAAAAATATTTACAACGTTTCATGCCTCCAATATGGCCCTGCAACAGCAGTACAGAGAGCAAGATTTCAAGAAGTACTCTGAGTTGATTTCTCTTCTCCTTGTGGCTGAACAAAATAACTACTTGCTTATGAAAAATCGTGAAAATCAACCCACTTGGTCTACACTATTGCCTGAAGTGGATGAGGTGTAATCTCATTATGCTAAGCGTGGAAAAGGTCGTAGCCCTATTTGTGGTCGTGGTTATGGTCGTGGACATGGCCGTAGACGAGGAAGAAATTTTCCTGGCGTTAATCACCCCCAAAGAAAAATAACCACCAAAAGTGGAAAGGGAAAGATGAGAAGCCATAGACTAATGGTTTAGAAACTTAATATTATCGTTGCGGTGGAAAAGGGTATTGGAAAAATATTTGTCATGCACCAAGAAATTTGTTTGAGCTTTATGAAGCATCTCTAAAGAATAAAGGCCCTGAAGCTAATCTTGTCTATGAAAATGAATTTGACATCGCCCACCTTGATGTGGCAGAATTCTTGTAACGACCCGGCCGGTCGTTTCATGAGTCACAGTCCCATTCTCCCCATTTCTACTTCCTTATATGTTGTTCAACTATTTTCATATTTTTGTGTTGCATTCTATGTTCGGGGTGGTCTTGGAGTGAAATGAGACACTTAGTCTGTTATTTGGAAGCTTTAGTTGGAAAAGTCAATCTGAAGTTGACTTGTGAGTAAATGATCTTGGAATTTAGTTTTTATGGCTCAGATAGCTTCGTTAGGCGATTTGGGACTTAAGAGCATGTTTTGAATGTAATTTGGAGGTCCGTGGTAGGTTTAGGCTTGAATTGGCGAAATTGGAATTTGCCATTTTCTGGTCGGCGGTGAAAATCTTGATATCAGGGTCTGAATGGAATTTTGAAAATTTGAGTAGGTCTGTTGTGTCGTTTGTGACGTGTGTGCAAAATTTCAAGTCATTCGGATGAGGTTTGATAGGTGTTTGGATCGATTGCAAAATTCGAAAGTTTGGAACTCCTTAGGCATGAATCCGAGGGTGATTTGGTGTTTCGATGTTGTTTTGAGTATTCCAAGTTTGATTGATGATATGTGACTTGTTCGTATTTTTTTTCATGTCCCGGGGGCCTCGGGATGATTTCGGAAGGTTGTCGGAAAGATTAGAATTGAGATTGAGCAGCTTCAGTTGTTGTTCCTGTCATAACCGCACTTGCGGATTGGGGACCGCAGGTGCGGGCCCTCAGAAGTGAATAAAGGGCCGCAGATGCATCCAAGGTTGAGAAGGGCAGGAACTGTAGAAGCGGCTTTGGGCGGATAAGTGATTTCTGCAGGTGCGACCTGTTGGACAGTAGGTGCGGTCGCGCAGGTGCGAGTTTGGGGTCGCAGGTGCGGAAATGCCTGGGCAGAAACTATATAAGCATTCCTTCGCGAATTTTTGTCCATTTCCACCATTTTTGAGACGGTATTAGAGCTTTTGGAGGGGTTTGAAAAGGAAATCCAGGGGATTCTTCTTGAGGTAAGATTTCTGAACTTAATACTTGTATATATGGTGAATTTCAGTTGATTAGACATGGAAATTTAAGAGACTAAGTGTGAAAATTTAGGAAATTATGGCTTGAAATTCTAGAGTTAAATTGGGGATTTGAAGGGCCATTTAAGGTCTGATTTTAATGTTTGTGTTATATATAAACTCGTGAGAGGATAAGGATTCTAGTGTTGTGATTTTTATCGGAATCCGAGACCTGGGCCCGGGGGTCTGGTTTGACCAATTCCGAGATCTTGAGTTTAGTGTGATAATATTTGCGTGGGCTTTGTAACTTTGGCTTGTATTGATGTTATGATTCTAATTTTAGATAGATCAAGACGATTTGAGGCCTAGTCGAGAGGCAAGAGCATCGCAAAGTAGATTTTCGTCCGATTTGAGGTAAGTAACAATCGTAAATCTAGACCTGAGGGTATGAAACCCCAGAATTTTGTAATGTTTTGATAAGTAAGGTGACACACATGCTAGGTGACGGGCATGTGGGCATGCACCCGTAGGGATTGTGACTTGGTCCGTCTCGTGGTGATTGCAGAGTTGCATGTTTTGATAAACTTTATATGATATCCATGTGTTTTAGAAATAAATCTATTAACTTAGGTTGAATGCCATGTTTGGGGCCTTGTGCCGAATTGTTTGGAACCTTAGGGGTATTTTACTACTTTCCTCAAACTGTCTTGATTTGAAAGCATATCTTCAGTCATGATTTTTACCTGTTTATTGTTTGATTCAATTTCATTACTCTACTTTCAAATATATGAAAACTGTTTGGGTTGTGTTCCCTTATTTTTACTGAAATTCCCGAGTGGTTGTGAGGTCAATGACTGGGAGAGAGGTTGAGGACCTGATGGCAAGGATTATATATATTTATAGAACGGGCTGCACGCCGTAGCGATATTTATATATATGGATCGGGCTGCACGTCGCATCGATATGTTGGATCGGGCTACGCGCCACAGTGCTATAATGCTTGGGTTGTAAGAGCCCCTCCAGAGTCTGTTCACCCCCAGTGAGCTAGTCGACTATATATAGTTACAGATCGGGTTGTACGCCACAACAATTATAATTATGAGATATCTATTGAGCGGGAGAGTTGAGTGTGAGTACTGATTGACGAAAGCTGAGTCATGAGTGATTGAGAGGCTTTCCCGAGGGGCTATAATTATGAGTGATACTTTGCTCGAGGGGCTTGTTTATGAGATTTCTGTGTTCACTTTTCTTCTAAACTGAGCATCTATTGAAAAATGTTGAACAAATGCTTTAAAGGATTTTCATTGAAACTGGAATTTTTACCAGACATTTGGTTACTACACTACAGATTTTGACTTTGATATTTCTGTTGAAATTTTTGATAAAGTATGTATACGATTTTAAATGCTCGTCACTGCACTCAGCCTTTATCTACTTTGGTTACTTACTGAGTTGGCGTACTCACGTTACTCCCTGCACCTTTTGTGCAAATCTAGGTGCCAGAGCCTCTGAGTGAGAGCTATTCATTGCCTTCAGAGTACTATCCGAAGATTGAAAGGTAGTTGCACGACATTCGCAGCCCTGCCTTTTTCCTTCCTATCCATAGTATTTTATATTTCAGACTTATCTTGTATTAAGCAGACAGTGTTGAGTTATATTTAGTGGCTCATGACTACTGACACCAGGATCGGGCTGGGTTGATGTACTTACGTATTTGCCTTTTTTCACATATTTGACATAGATTAAAATGAAAGATTTGAGATTATATCTGATTAGAATAATGAATTTACAAAAGACCTTTATATTGTTCTTGTTGTTTCAGCTGGCCTAGTACTGCGATAAGCGCCATCACGACTGGGGTGTTTGGGGTCGTGACACTTCTTTGAGCACTCTGATGGGAAAATAGACCACTTACTTGGTGATGGATCTGTGGTTAAAGATGATTGAGTAGTTTGATTTTTATTTTTGCTTATTCGTAGTATCTAGTGAATAAACATCATGTAATTATAGTTCTTTACATAAATAGTAGCCATTGTAATGAAAATTCATCATAAGTGTAACAATAATTTTCTTTAGCAGTGCACACACATCAAGCAGACAATGCAATCTTAGTGTCACAACCCGGATTTTGCATCCTC